CTAACCCTAAACTCTAAACCCTCAACCCTAAACCCTCGACCCTAAACCCTAGACCCTCAACCCTAAACCCTGAACCTCATACCCAATTTTCCAGAACCCTATGTCAAAACCCCTCCGGAGGGCCCGGCCTGCAGCGAGGCGTTGCACAAGTTCTCGACCGCCTCGACCTGGGCCAAAGCACTCGCCCAGATGCACAAGCAGGAGGGCCGTGTGGTCTTCCAGGACCCCCCCAAGAAGGGCCCTTTAATGGAGTACCTATAGTCTCCATTGTACTTCCTTTTTTGGTTAACCAAAATCTCTTGCATGAGGTGGAATTCTTCAAAACCATGATGTGGATGGTCTTTCAGGGCCTAATTCCATGATACGGTTGATGATTTAAATCCTGCATTACCCATGATAAGGAAGATACCATAATTCCCATAGTTTAGGGTCCTTAAGGTATTGCAGGAATTATATCATCCACCGTAGCGTATACGGACCTCAGGGAGCGCATGAGGGCCCTGTGGTCTTCCCCAGGACCCCCCAGGAACCCAGAGACTCCAATATCCTATAATTAAGGAATACCTTAAACCCAAGTAACCTACCTTTTTAAGGACTTATATAAAGAAATCATATTAGGAAACCCTCAAAAGGAAGTTTCCTTAGGGTCCAGGTAGGCTTCAAATCATATTAGGGATCTTACTGTAAGTTAAGGTATATTCCTTAATTAAGGGATATTGGCGTCTCTGGGAAGGGCCGTTCAATAGAGTCCTTATGGCCCTGAATAGTGGGCCTTCGGGGTATATTCGAGGGTACTTGCCGGGTCTGGGTTTATGTTTGGGTTTAGGGTTTAGGGAGTCGAGCGTTTATTTTGTTTGGGCTTCTTGCGGAACATATGCATGAACAGATAGCTGGATGGATGCATGGATGGGTGGATGGATTACTTCATGGGTACATGAATAGATGTAGATATTTGTAAAAGATTCCAGAAGGTGTAGAGTTCCACCTAAGCCCCTAAGCTGCAATGCCAACTCTTCGAGCTTGCTAAACCTCAGCGCTATGAAACTCGATAAACCCTTGAAGAGCCCCACCTCAGCGCTATGAAACCCGATAAACCCCTGAAGAGCCCCACACTGAAACCATACGACCTGGACTCCAGAACCCGAAACCCTAAAACCTAAACCCCAATTATGTAAACTCCAGAACCCTAAACCCTGAGCCTGCATGAAGTCCAGAACCCAAAACCCTAAATACCCAAAAGCTCCATAGTAGTTCCTTTTGGGGTTCCATATTTAGAAACCCTATAAGGTAATCCCAAAAAGGAACTACTATGGAGCCTATGGGTAAACTCCAGAACCCAAAGTCCTGGCAATCCTCGGTGCGGGGCATCGATGACGGGCTCTGCACAGAGAGCAGTTGTAAGGCCTGGCAAGGGGTAGGGTTTAGGGGTTTAGGGTTTAGGGCTGGCACTCCGAGGGCTTCATGACATTAGGCAATCTAGGGGCCATTAGAATGTTGTGGGGCCCATTTTGCTATAACTGCAAAAAAAGACCCTCCCCCCCCCACAAAAAAAAACGGCATAGGCAATTATTGAGGCCCCTATAATATCCCAACGTTGAAGGGGGGAACGTACGTATAAACTTGATCCAAAAGCACATAGTTTCTACGAGTCTAGAACGGTTTAGGGTGGTGGGCTTTAGGGCGTTGGGCTTTCGAGTTTTAGCATTCGGGACTGAGGGTCTGCAGCGCCTGGCCAGACAGGGCCTACGGGTCTTCGGGCCGTGCCAATATTTATGTTCTCGCTTCTCAGGTACCCTAATCCACACTAAGGCCCTGCTGGCTAAATGGGAGTTTCCGAAATTGAGGGTACCTGATTTTGGAGTCCTTATAACAAGGATCCTACTATTTAGGGTGCTATATTGGGGTCCCCTGTTTTTGGAAACTCCCAAATCGCTTGTTCGACTCCGTAGAAGAGTTTTGGGGTCATGGCGGCGGGGGCTTTGGGATTCAGGGTGGTTACCCTAGGAATCTAAGGACTCATATATTAAGGCTTTGGGCCCAAAGACCATACTATATAAGGCTTTGGGGCCATTTTGATGCCCAGGGTTAGGAGTTCTCACAGTATCGAGATTGACGTGTTGGGTAGTTACCAAACCCTGAACCTTCAACACCTAAACCCTCAAAAACCCATCAACCCTAAACCCCAAACCCCTAAACCCTAAACCGCAAAATCTTCAACTCTCAAACCCCCAAACCCTAAACCCTAAGCCGTAAATCTTCAACCCTCAACCCTAAAACTGCTACGCCCGACATCCTAAGCCTAAGCCCCACTCCACCCTCCGCTCCCCCGGCCTCTGCCAACTGCTAGGTCACCCTCCACCTCCCAAAGTGCCGATGGGACGGTTTAGGGTTTAGGGGTTTAGGGGTTTAGGGGTCTAGGGGTTTAGGGTTTAGGGGTTTAAGGGTTTATGCAAGACGTCTGCGGACCATCCAAGCGAGAAGCACGGGGTTTAAGGGTTTAGGGGTTTAGGGTTTAGGGGTTTAAGGATTTAGGGTTTCGGGGTTTAGGGCTTAGGGGTTTAAGGGTTTAAGGGTTTAGGGGTTTAGGCTTCAGGGGTTTAGGGTTAAGGTTTTAGGGGCTTAGGGTTTAGGGTTTTTGGTGAACCCGAAAAAATTGGAACATGGATTTAGGACGGGTAGTGCCGGGACTCCCTATACTTCACCTTAACGGTATAAGGGTAATGATGTTCCAACTTTCTGGCTTCTACTTTAGGGGTTTAGGAGTTAATTTGGGGTTTAAGGGTTCGGGGGCTTCCCAGAGACTCCAATACCCCTTAAATTAAGGAATATACTTTAAATCATATTAGGGATCCTACTATAATTTAAGGTATATTCCTTCATCAAGGGATATTGGAGTCTCTGGGTTCGGGGTGTACTGTAGGGATTACAAAGGTGCCGACAGGAATCCCAGACCTGCAGCAGCCTCCTTGTACCCTCAAATGGTGGCCTAGCAGAGGGTAGATGGAGCCAGAAACCAAGAGTAACCTAGGAATACTCAAATGGTGCCCTTTTTGGTTTAAAGGGGCTTCTAAGGGAGCCTGAACTTTAAAAACAGGGAATAAGCGCCTACTCTAGGTCCTAGGCAGAGTCTATTAGGGTTTGGGCTCAGGGTTTAAGGCTTAGGAGTTTAAAGGTTTCGGAGTTGAGGGTGCTTGAATCCCCAGGACACTCTTGTACCCTCAAAAGGAGATATGTAGTTCCCAGTTGCGGGTACGAGTATTGAGGGATCGAATAGAAGGTAAATGGAGGGTCTATAGGCCGTAAGGGACACTTTGCGTACGTGGCTTAGGGTTTAATGCTTACCTAAAACCGGAATAACCTACGTGTTTAAGGACTAATACACGGAGTTCATATCTAATAAGGAACCCTGCAAAGGTATCGGTTATTCAGGGTGAAAGTAGGGTTTAGCGGTTTCTGTTTACGGCGGACTGAAGGCTCCATACGTAAGGCAAGGGTTTGGGGATGTCCGCAGTTCAGGTGTGGGGCCTCGCGCCAGGAGCCTACCTGGGAGTGGCTAGCCCAGAGACTCCAATATCCCTTAATTAAGGAATATACGGTAAATTATACTAGGATCCCTAATATGACTTAAGGAATCTTCCCTAATTAAGGGATATTGGAGTCTCTGGGAGGTTCCCCGGTGAAAAAGTACACCTTTCCTACTGTCCAGGTTTGTGGGGTCTAACCCGTTCTTGGCTCAGGCTCTTTTCGTACATCGTGGCAAGCATGGGGACTGCGTGGGTCAAAGATCTGGGATTCCGAAGGCTGATGCAAATAAGGCTTTGAGGTATAACGTACTTCAACGATTCAACTACAGAAGGGCTTCAGTAGAGGATACTTGCAACGGCTTGGTTTCCCAAGGCCGCTCCATATTTCGACAGCTATCCTTCTGGATGCAGGACAAAGCTCTAAGCCCTCCAACGTAAGCCTCCGGGCTCACTTAACTGAGCTACCAGTAGCACAGAACTCCAAACGGCCGTGTGCCTTTCCTCTGGTGACCGGGTAGGATGTAAGTTTAGGCCCGAACCCAAGTAGACACAGCCAAAGATATTGGTTCAAAAATCCTAAAGCCTAAACCACATCCCGTGAGCAGCGTCACCCGCGAAAGCTTAGCTCACTTCGCGACACAAAGTGCCATCCGACCCAGACCGCAACAGAAATCCTATATCCGGAGTCCTTTGATGCGGACCCAGAGACGCCCAAACCCCTTAAGGAATATACCTTAAATTATGGTATATAGGATCCCTTATATGATTTAAGGAATATACCTTAAATTATAGTCAGATCCCTTATATGATTTAAGGAATATTCCCTAGCTAAGGGATATTAGAATCCCCTAAACCCTATAGATCCCTTGAAGGAACCCTAAGGATCCCTTTAAGGAACCCTCAGTCTCTGGGGAATCAGGCAAAGTGGGTCGAACCCTGAGGCGAAAATTTGGGGCTCAGTTCCTGGAGGTTCGAAAATATCTGGGAGTTTCTGAAAATTAGGGGTACCTCATTTTGTGGCCCTTATAATAAGGATCCTACTATTTAGGGTACTATAGTAAGGTCCCCTATTTTCGGAAACACTCATATGAAGTACGTGGGTAGTTGTCAAAACAGGGGTCCCTTTTTGGGTACCCTAAAGACTAGGTGCAGTATTATACTGGGGACCCGAAAAGGGACCATAATTTTGACAACCACTCTCGTGAAACGGCCACCAACTGGGTCAACCTCAGCAGTCAGGCATCTGAACCGAACTCGGAAATTGCCTCACTGGCATTTGGCAGCACAGCGGTCTTTTTCTGCGAACACAACAGAATGGCATACCACACGTGCGAACACGCGTGAGGGGAGTCGAGACAAGCCAACTTTCTGTGCATTCTGCGTAATTTCCCCAATCGCAGCGGGAAAGCTGCTGTCGTGTACCCACTGAATTAAGATAGTACATGTACAAAAACGGTGAAACGCTGCCGAATCGAATTACTTGGCTGTCGCCTCGGTTCGGGCTTTCTTCTTGGCCGGCATCTCCACTCGGTCATCTTCGTCGCGGATGGCATACCTCGTCACTGTGGAAGTACCATCGATGAACCTCAGTTCTCTGTTTGCAGCTGAAGAGACGATTGGGAATATAGTATAGTATACTATAATATACCAAAGCATCCCATAATTCGCTATAGAAGCTAGAATATACTAGCATATACTAATTGTGCCTTACATGAGTATACGTAGAGGGCAGACGAATTTGCAAGGATGCTGTCATCCGTGATGGCGCTGCAGACTCGGACCCGAATCGATGACTCTCTCTGCACATAACTACAGATATCTCCACATGCGCATGTGCGTATGCGTGTGTGTGTGTGTGTGTGTGTGTGTGTGTGTGTGTGTGTGTGTGTGTGTGTGTGTGTGTGTGTGTGTGTGTGTGTGTGTGTGTGTGTGTGTGTGTGTGTGTGTGTGTGTGTGTGTGTGTGTGTGTGTGTGTGTGTGTGTGGTGTGTGTGTGTGTGTGTGTGTGTGTGTGTGGTGTGTGTGTGTGTGTGTGTGTGTGTGTGTGTGTGTGTGTGTGTGTGTGTGTGTGTGTGTGTGTGTGTGTGTGTGTGTGTGTGTGTGTGTGTGTGTGTGTGTGTGTGTGTGTGTGTGTGTGTGTGTGTGTGTGTGTGTGTGTGTGTGTGTGTGTGTGTGTGTGTGTGTGTGTGTGTGTGTGTGTGTGTGTGTGTGTGTGTGTGTGTGTGTGTGTGTGTGTGTGTGTGTGTGTGTGTGTGTGTGTGTGTGTGTGTGTGTGTGTGTGTGTGTGTGTGTGTGTGTGTGTGTGTGTGTGTGTGTGTGTGTGTGTGTGTGTGTGTGTGTGTGTGTGTGTGTGTGTGTGTGTGTGTGTGTGTGTGTGTGTGGGTGTTTGTGTGTGTGTGTGTGTGTGTGTGTGTGTGTGTGTGTGTGTGTGTGTGTGTGTGTGTGTGTGTGTGTGTGTGTGTGTGTGTGTGTGTGTGTGTGTGTGTGTGTGTGTGTGTGTGTGCGTGCGGGTGTGTGTGTGTGTGTACACTGTGTGTGTGTGTGTGTGCAACTTATGACAAAGCACCTGCTTCTGTATCTCTGGGTTCATGCATGCACTTTGTAGTATGGTCCTAAATTGACTCTTTGCCACCTGTGTACGGCGCCCACCTGCAGGCAACACCGGCCGACAAAAGAGGCGCGTGTATGTCTGGACCCGACCGACCGACCGACAGAGAAACAGACCGGTAGGGTTTTGAGGGGCCTTCATCATCAGAATAGGATTTGGGGCGTCCAATTTCATCTTGAAGCCCCGATATCTTTATCAGACAAAACCTACAACCAACAAATCCCGAGTTAGGGCGTTGAAGTTGAAGCCTACTCAGCAAGCCCGAATCCCCCGACAAGGCCCAAACCCTGTAAGCCCTACGCAACTCCTTACACTAAACCCCAGACCCTACGCCCGAAAACCTGCACTGCTACACTCTACCTACAGTTTGCATGGTAGTTCCTTTTTTGGTTAACCGGTTTTATGGTTAGGATCCCATAATAGAGATTTTGGATAACCCAAAACAGGAACTACAATGGAGACTATAGGTAAACCTGAAGTCAAAAACCAATGTTAGTAGGGCCCCAAAAAGGCACATAAGCAAAAAGTTTGATAGGGATATCCCATATAAACCCCCTTATAAAGAAGCCCAAAAAGGTAGGGATATCCCTATCAAATGCTTATGCTTATGTGCTTTTTGGGTCCCTAAGTTGGCAGCCCAGGAACCTGGTGCGGAAGAGGACGTTGGCATGGTTGAACATGCCCTCTTTCAGAGAGACGACGATGAACCTCTAGCTCTCGGGCTTTTAGGGCGACTATATACGGGGTACTGCATAAGAGATGCTACATAAGTGGCGAAGTTCTATAAGGCTTCCTATGAGGGCTTCGGGTTCTAGGGTTCAGGGCTTGTGGGCTTGGAGCTGACCTGGAGCCTCGTACTACTACCCTTACCCATTTTTCAAGCTACCTGGTTTCCTATTCACCGATGTTAACCGTCACAGTCAAGGCTGGCGGGACTTTTGGGGCCCAATAGTTCTTTGGAATCTAAGACTATAGGGTTCGGTAGTGCCGGGTATAGGGCTCCTAGGACCTTTGGTTTCAGGACATCACCCTAAACCCCTAAACCCTAAACCCTAAACCCAGCCTGTTCGTGTTTGTGGGTTCTCGGCTTCAGGGCTTCAGGCTATACAGGGAACTCCAGAAAGTTGGAATATGGTTTCAGGGTAGGATACCCTATAATTTGCCATAGAAGGGTAAGGATGCTCATATTCCAGCTTTCTGGCTTTTACCTTAGAGGGTTTGACTAGGGCCTTCACAAGTTCAGTGCGAATCTGGGGTACATTTAACTAGAGTTCTAACATCGAACGAACCCAACGGGATGATGTTGGCAATTATTCATGCTCCTGTCAAACCCCACCTACAGTCTCCATTGTAGTTCCTTTTTTTGATTAACCAAAATCTCTTTTTATAGGATCCTAACCATATAAAACTCCATTACCAAAACCTCTTTTTATAGGATCCTAAATAAAACTGGCTAACCAAAAAAAGGAACTACAATGGAGACTGTAGGCAAACCCTGTCTTGGGGTCTTCGGCCTGAGGGCTGTCTTGTTGGGGCCCATCTGTCAAATCTCATTTCTAGACTCCGAACCACCATCCCCTAAACCCTAAACCCTAAACCCCTAAACCCCTAAACCCTAAACCCCTAAACCCCCAAACCCTAAGCCGTAAACTCAGGCATGCAATCCTGCTACGAGGCAGGTAGGAATCGTCAACACGTGTGTTGAACTTCCAAGTGTTCCGATACCATGGGTCTGGGGGGGGGTGTCTACACTACACTGGGTTGTAGTCTCGGGGCCCTTAAAGATATCTATGAATAGGTGTCTCTATAGGAACCGTAAGGGGAACTAAAAAGTTTCCCAAACCGCCAGCTAGTATAGATATATGATGGGTCCCTTGAGGAGTCGACTTCCGAACACTAATTACAGCTTCCGGAAAACACCAATAGATCTTAAACTCTAAACCCTGGACCCTATAATCCATAAACCTGAAACCTGAAACCGACCTGGGCCTTAGCCCAAAGGCTCCCTGTACCTTTATAGTAGATACTTAGGCCTTAAAGGGGTCCCTATATGGGTACTAGACCCAAGAGTAACATGGCAATAAAAAGGGTGCCCTTTTTGGTTTAAAGGGGCTTCTAGGGGAACCGGAACCCTAAAAAATGGGAATAAGGGCCTACTCTAAGTCTTAGGGTAATTTAAGGCCTAAGTATATACTCTATGGGCACATGGAGCCTTAGGGTAGGCACCTCATCCCTGAAGCGCAAACCCTGAGCCGACCATGAACCCGAAATCTCTCCCACATCCACCCGAAGACCCTGAACCTACTCAGAGGCCCATAGTCGTTCCTTTTTGGGGATTACCTGATAAGATTCTACATATGCACCCCCAAAAAAGGAAACTACTATGGAGCTTAGGGTAAAAAACCCTAAACTCCCTAAAAATCACACCGAAGCCCTCTCCCCAAGGAGCTGGGAATGCGGGAAATGCGTCCGGATCATGTGGCCGATGTTCCTGGGATCGTCTTGTCGTTTCTCCGACCAGGAACCCCATGCTGTCTGGTTCTTAGTCGGGGATGGCGGTGGCCTCAGCTACTCAGGGACCCTTTACGGGTCCCTTTAAAGGGACCTATCGGGATTCTATAAGGGTATAGGGTTTAGGGTCTACTTGGAAGTTCATGGGTAGTTATAAGTGGGGCTATAATTAGGGAAACTACGTTCATAACCGACATTAGAGGACTTATAAGCCCATTTATAACTGCCCATGAACCTCCAAGTAGGGGATGGGGAAATGGGTGGGGACTACTCTTGGGGAGTCTATAGGGTTTAGGGACTACTATAGGGATCCATTCCCCCATTCCCTGGTTTGGAGGTTTAAGTGCTAAGACTTGCGGTTCGGGGTTTCGGGCTGAGGGTTTAAATGTGCACTTGTTGCTTCTGGTTAAGGATTTCTGTGTAGGGCCTAGGGTGTAAGACTTGAGTTGGGCTTAGGAGTTTGGGCCTGGGAGAGTTCTGAACTCCAAAAATCCTGAGGCACTAAAGTCATGCGTACGAAATCCTGTATTTGACCGAACCCAGAGACTCCAATATCCCTTATATAACTAAGGAATATACCTCAAATTATACTAGGATCCCGAAAAGGATTTAAAGTATACTCCATAAATTTCAGGGATATTGGAGTCTCTGGGAAGCTGATGTCTGAAAGCCTCAGAGCCGGCCATGGGTTCCAGGATTTGACCTTCTGTCTCGCGGCGAAAACTCCACATGGGTGGTTGTCAAAATTATGGTCTCTGTTTTGGGTGCTTAATATAGTACGGCACCGGATATTTAGGGTGCCCAAAAAGGGACCATAATTTTGACAACTACCCACATAGAAGGGGCAGCATATGACTCTCTGAACACAAGCCATAAACCCTGCGCAAACCCAAAAAACCCCAAATCACTCACAGAAGCCTTGTAGAACGTCCTATCGGGGCCTTCTAAACCGAAGCCCTGCAGTCAACCCGAAGTAGTCTTCTTCCGAGAGTCTGCGTGTGGCTCAAGTCCAAAGCAGAATCGATCTCGTCCAGGATGTACCTGAAGGGTTTCCGAGATGGTCCTTATAAAAGGGATCCTACTATTTAGGGTACTATAATAGGGTCCCCTATTGTCGGAAACTCCCACCTGAAACCAAGCGGAAAACAGGGCTTTTGAGGCTTAGGGTCGAGAGCTTGATAGGGCTTTGCTACTTAGGATCAAGGAATGTGCGATGAAAGGGTTAACGATGGTGTAGGGTGTAGGGTTATCTTGCAGTACAAGCTTTAGGTGCAGGGTTCCGGAGCGGTGCCTGAAACTGAAAGTGTGGGTTGCAGTGCAGGTTCAGGATAGTTTAGGCATTGAGTTCACTACAGGGCTTATGCTTCAGGGCGATATACCTGACAGCGCGGCTTGCAGTACAGGAGTTGAGGATTGAGGTATGCATGATGGTGATGAGCAACGCTTCATTTTACCAAAAAACCTCTCAGGAGGAAACAAAAAAACCCTAGAACCCGAAGATCTCCAGGACCTCCCCCCCCCTAAACCTTACGAACCCTAAACCCTACGAACCCTAAACCCTAAACCCTAAACCTCCCCTAAACCCTAAACCTCCCCTAAACCCAAAATCCGCCGAGGGTGCATCGGAGCCGGCTTGAACAGCAGCAGGGCCAACACTAGCCTATACTGAACTTAGAACCCTAGCAAAAAATATAATTTTAGCTGTTTCTTAGGGATTATAATAACCAAAAATTAAAAGTTATATCCAAGTACGCCCAAGTAGCGACAGGGCCAGCAGGGAACGCTGACCACCGCCTAAGCGACTTGCGCTTTGAACGGTTAGGGTTTAGGGGTTTAGGGGTTCAGGGTTTAGGGGTGTAGGGTTTCGGTGGTTTAGGGGTTCAGGGTGCATTCCTGTACGTGTTAAATGGGGGTCCTACTGGTTTGCTGCAGCGCTTCCTATAGGGCTACCCAGGGTTTTCGAACAAGCTTTGATAATGATTAGCGTCTTGAAAGGGTTCCAGGTGGCTTCTAAACTTCCTGTACAGGATTACGGGGTGTAATTTCGGCTTGTGATGGAGAACCTTACGGGCTTCATGGGCCTCGGCGATATACGGGTTGCTTTCAAGCCTAAACCCCAAAGCCTGAACCCCAAAGCCTAAACCCCAAAGCCTAAACCCAAGCCGTAGGGGTCCTGATGAGGGAGGGCTCGACGAAGGGTTGTTGTGCTTTCAGCGGTCCCAAGCACAAGACAAGGGCTGAACCAAGGCCGTCTTCCCAGAGACTCCAATATCCCTTAACTAAGGAATACAGCGTAAATTATAATTGGATCCCTGATATGATTTAAAGTATATTCCTTAACTAAGGGATATTGGTGTCTCTGGATTCAGGTTTCCGAAAAGGTTCTACAACTGTCTGGTTCTTAGTAGGGAATGGGGGAATGGATGCCTATTAGTAGTCCCTACATAATCCCCACTAGTACTCTCCATGATCCATTCCCCCATTCCCCCCTTGGCTTAAGACGTGCAAGCTCACACACATATCTCAGTCTTTTCTCCTCGACCGAAAGCGCCGATGGCGGCCTAACGCCCGCACCTTACGGCTTAATTTGGAGAGTCTAGACAACTACTAAATCCCATGACCAGCAAGCACCCTCGCCCTTGTCAAACCATTACCCAGCCTCTTAAAACCGTACAAAACCCTGATAGACCCTGGAAGAGCCAAAACCCGAAACTACTGAACAAAGCCTTCATAAAAAGAATGAAACCAGCAACCTGCGATCCGACTCTGCGATGGCATCTGCACCTCAACCTGCCTCGAGGGTTTGGCCTTTGACTGTAGAAGAGAATCCAAAGGAGTACTGCGCTTCACTGCTCAGGCCGCTATATCAGGGCATAGCCCAAAACCGTTACCATCTCAACCCCCCCGCAACTCGCAAGCCCCTAATAGGTCCTAGACCCATGAAGTCAAACCTCCTATATGGTTTTATGGCTGGATCCAAGCTGCTCAATTCAGTCAGGGACTGCTTCCACACGCCGTGGAAGGACACCTTGATTTCGAGACCTGCCCGGTCCCCCAGTCAATCACTCCCGAAATCACCATCAGAATCCGGGTTTAGGGTTTGGGGTTTAGGGTTTGGAGTTTAGGGTTTGGGGTTTAGGGTTTAGGGATATACCTACAGTCTCCATTGTAGTTCCTCTTCTTGGTTAACCAGTTTTATGGCTAGGATCCTATAATCGAGATTTTGGTGAGCCCAAAAACAGGAACTACAATGGAGACTATAGATAGAATCCCCATGCAAGAACCTAGAAACAAAGGGATCCCGTCTTGGTACTGGGTAGTTTCATAGGTAACCACGACCACAGCGATGAAAAAGAGCCCACAGGGAGACCTCTGGGTGGTTGTCAAAATTAGGGTCCCTTTTTGGGTACCCTAAATATTAGGTGCCGTACTGTAGTAGGGACCCAAAAAAAATTCATAAATTTTGACAACCACCCCTATAGACCTAAAGAGACCGTCTCAAGGCCAGGACCGCCTTAAAGTGCGCCGGGGTTCATCATACTGACCTGGGTGGTTGTCAAAACTAGGGTTCCTTTTTGGGTCCTGATTATAATACGGCACCTAATATTTAGAGCACTCAAGAAGGGACCCTAATCTTGACAACTACCCACGTAAACGTTCCACAAAAAGAACATGAGCTAAGCTCTAAACCTTGAGCACAGCTGCCGAAGAACGCGACGTCCTGAACCCTAAACCCAAAGCCCTGAACCAGACAGTGCCAAACCCTTCAAGAACCTGTGAAAGCCCTGTGGCAGCGCCCTGAAACCCTTCAAAGATCCCCAGTAACCTAAGAATAAAAAGGCCTCTCTTTTTGGTATTGGGTAACTTTATAAGGAACCTAGGACTACAAAAAGGGAATAAGGGTACTACTGGGCATCCTAGCCCTTCAAAGATCCCCAAGCCGCAACTCATCATAGACTCCCCAAATCCCAAACTCTCGAACCCTAAACTCCCCAAACTCTTAAATTCAAAAGTATCAAACCGTAAACTCCTATGTCCTATACTCCCAAATCCTAAACTCCTAAATCCCAAGCTCCCATATCTTGAACTCCTGACCCTAAACTCCCAAAATCGACTATCCCACATCCTATAGACTCCAAAACCCTAATTCCCAAATTCTAAAACTAAACCTCTAAACTCCCAAACCGAAACTCGTAAATCCTCAACTCCCAAACCATAAACCGGTGCCTTCTGTCTCGTCCATGCCCTGGGGAGGCTCCAGCTTGGCGCCGGCGTTCGGCAGCAGGGTGCCAAAGATGGAGTCGAAGTCCTGCAGAAGCTCTTGAGGGTTGAGGGTTTAGTTTAGGGATCAGGGTTCAGGGTTCAGGGTTCAGGGTTTAGGGTTTAGGGTTTAGGGTTCTGTTGTTTCTTGTTGAAGGGCCTTTTCCACCTTGCAGTTAAGGTCAGCAGAACACGCACTTGCGAAACAGGGTTTAGGGTTTAGGGTCGAAGTCCTGCAGAAGCTCTTGGTGAGGGCTTTATGCCGGCCCCGAAAAAAGCGGCTTTGTGAAGGCTTCAAGGGTTTTAGCAAAGGCGGTGTAGGGCTTGACCCTAAGGGTCCTAACAACTTGGGGAACTTCAATATTGAGGGTTTCTGAGACCCCAAAGAGACCCAAGGACTCTCCCTAGGACATTCCGGACCTCCTCAGGAGATACCTGGACCCTTAGGGGAGGAAGTTGTATCAGGGAGCGTTCGAACGGGCTTTTCCAGCTTGAGGTTGAGGGTTTGGGCGGTGTGGGTCTTAGAGTTTGTCAGGGACCTACTTGTCGGGTTAGGGTTTAGGGTTTAGGGTATCAGTGGGAACTAAAGGTTAACCTTTTTGGGTATATAGGAATTTAGGGGCTATACTACCCAAAAAAGATTAAAGGTTACCTACTCTACTACTAGGGGGATTTGCTTAAGGCTTAGGGCCTTTTTCAGGGTTTCCGAAATGGCTTGCTTCAGTCAGGGTCCAGGGTTGAGGGCTTGAGGTTCAGGGGTTGAGGGCTTAGGGCTGGCACAAAGACCGAGCCAATTTCGCGCTGTGTCTGAAGACAAGGGATTAGGATTGAAGAATATAGCGGTTTCGATTGCAATGATGTCATTGCTGAGGCCTTTAAGATAACACCAAACTGACTAAGTAATGATAATTACCGTGTAGGACCTCAGCACTGACGCAAGTGAAACTGGGCTCTAACCAGAGACTCGAAGCTCGAAACCCCTACACCGAAGACCGTAGCAGTGCTGCGGCCCCTTTTAAATCTGAACCCTAAACCCCAGGACCCTAATTCATAGCAGTTCCTTGTTGGGATTACCTTATCGAAATCTAAATATGAACCCCCAAAAGGAACTACTATGGAGCCTTACAAGGTAAACCCTAAACCCCTAAACCCCTCAACCCCTAAACCCCTCAACCCCTAAACCCCTAAACCCTCTAAACCCCCTAAACCCCTAAACCCCCTAAACCCCTAAACCCCTAAACCCTCTAAACCCCCTAAACCCCCTAAACCCCCTAAACCCCCTGAACCCCCTAAACCCCTAAGCCCCCCTGCCTTAGGGTAAGCCCCAAATCCCTAAACGTTCACGCTTTTAAGGGGCTCATCAGACTCCGGGTTTTTTGAGTTCTGGCGGTTTCACCCCAGAGAGCCCAATACCCCTAAATTACGGAATATAGGGTTTAGGGTTTAGGGTTTAGGGTTTAATTAGGGTTTAGGGTTTAGGGTTTAATCATACTATGAATCCCTATATAGTTTAAGCCATATTCCTGAATTAAGGGGTATTGGGCTCTCTGAGACCCAATCGGGGATTCCTTAGGACCTATGGACGTTCATACGGCTGATGATATAAATCCTGCACTACCTTAAGGACCCTAAACTATTGGAATTACGGTATATTCCTTATTATGGGTAATGCAGGGTTTATATCATCAACCGTAACTCCAATCGGGCTTTGGTGTAAGTCTGGTATAGATACAGAAGGAACCCCAGAACGTAGTCTTGCAAGGCCCTGCACTACCTTCATCCCACCTTTGGAGTCGTTGAAAAGCCAACCCTCCAGATGCACAGCTCGTGCCTTGTTGACTTTCTTCCACGTGCGTCGGAGCGTTTCGCTCTTCTTCTCGTCCAGGTCCTTGATAACCTCCGCACTCACTCCCCGAAACGCAGGATCGCTCCAGGTATGATTGAAGCCATGCCCAATACAAGTAAGCATTGTATACAGCTCTTACTAAAGCCCTTTCCATAGCCTTGTCAACGCTGGAATGCCCTGATAAATCCTTGGAAAGTTTCAGGACCGCCTTTACAAACCTCCAGGGTTTTGGGCAGTAAGGTAGGGGCTTTAGTGATTAGAATACGATTTTGGGGCCTCAAAACAGTGTAGGTAACTATATAAGGCCCTATAGTACCCAGAGACTCCAATATCCCTTATTTAAGGAATATACCTTAAATTATAGTAGGATCCCAAATCACATATTCCTTAATTAAAGGAAAAATGGAGTCTCTGGGTATGGATTTTCAGACGCAGGAGGAAGGCATGGCCTTCTCGATCTTGCTCTTGTCCTCAGCTCCGTGGCATTCGAGGCAAAAGCAGAGCTTGGGGTGCAGAAAGGCTCTGGATTTAGGATTTCGGGCTTAGTTTTGGGACTTGGGGTGTGCAGTAGAAACCAGAAAGTTGGAACATCATTATCATAATCCCTTCAAGGTAGAATATAGGGGATCCTGCCATTATTCCACATTCCAACTTTCTGGAGTTCCCTTTAGGTCTTAAGGCTTGACCCTGATAAACCGGTCAATGAACCTCAAGGGTGGCGGTGCTGCCGCCCGCCAGCGGTTCTTGCTGCTTTTCGGCTTCGGGGCCCAGAACGCCAAATCCTAAAACCCAAAGGCCCAAACCAAAGACCCAAACCCCCCTTGAGCACGGAACGTAAGCTCTCTCGAGCATGGCAAGCATCATTCAAGATGATGTCGCGGCGTGAGAGCAGATCCTGCACAGCGAGGGCGTTGGGGTTTGTGAATTAACAGTACGACCTGCGGTTCGGAGTCTTCGAGTTAACTCATGGTTATCCCAAAAACTAGCAGCTTAGTGCCCTGGCCCTAAACAAGTGTTGCTGCAGAAATACAGACAAGGTTTTGAAGCTTGAACGCTCAGCTACCAAGGTATGAACAGCTCTCAATTTTGGGGTCCCTTCTCGGATCCTGCCAAGGCGCAACCTCTAGTTCCAGAGCCCTGAACCCAAACCTGAAACCCTTCAACCCTTAAACCCCTTTGAACCCTCAACCCTTAAGCCATAAACCGTAGACCGCCGAAGTCATCAACGCCACAGAACTCGCGATGGAACTGCCGCGTCTCCTGCCAGTTTCATCAGTACACTCGTCATCAAAAGCAGCAGCGTCATCAAAGGCAGCAGCGTCATCAAAAGCAGCAGCAAGACGGGACAGCGACATGAACCTGCTGTTCATCAGCATCATCAGCACCATCATCATCATCAACATCATCACCGTCAACATCATCATCGTCCTCATCATCAATCATTATCATCATCATCATCATCATCAGCACCTGGGCCTTCCTGCCCAGCATAACCGCCACCGCCATCATCATCGTCATCTTCATCATCATAAATGCTGTCATCATCGTCGTCGCTAAACTGTCTCCGAGTCAGCGAAAACCCCAAAACCCTCAAACCCCTGACCACTAAAGTCCATCACCGTAAACCCCTCTATCCCTGAACACAGAATGTTATTCCCCTAAACCCTAAACTTAAACATTTCAATCCCTGAGCCGTCCCCTAAACACCAAACCCTTGCCCTCTGAACCCTAAAACCCAAATCTCTCAAATCATGACTCTCCATGAGGGATGCCTTGTACTCCTGCTCCGCCTTCTCGAACATCACCATCGCCTGTTGGGGGGGGGAGGGGGCTTAGGCTTTAGGGTTTAAGGGTTTAGAGTCAAGACTTTCAGGGTTTACCGGATTATGGGCTCAGGGTTTATAGGGCCTTTTGGGGGGCCTAGGGTTTAGGGTTTAAGGGTTCAGGGTCAAGGTTTTAACGGTTTACAGGTTTATGGGCTTAGGGTTTAGGGTGCTCGTGGAGGGCTACCGGGCCTTTCCTGCGGACCCTTGACGATTCTACCCTCCCCAGGATCCCTGTGATGATTTCCCTTGTTCAAGTGGATGAGGGCGGATGTGATTGATCAGGTGTCTACGTTAATGATCAGAACAGGGCTTTGATGTCTTAGTATTATGTAAGATGTAAGCGCCATGTTCATTGTGTCAAGGCAGAGGAGTTGTCCGACAAACACGGTCTCTACTCTTCTTCCGCACACACGAGTTGCTGGTGAGATCCGCTTTAACAGCGAGCAGAGCCCAAAGAAAAAAATGGCGCTTAAGCAGAAGTAAGCACTGTGCAGCTGATTGCCCACTGCAGTACAGGGGCTGCTAATATTAGAACAAGTACGTCATCGTCTTTAGATGTCCACATGTATACAAAGCTATCCGGGAAAGTACTACTTCTTCACACCTCTTTCTTGGTTCCCCAGGATACCACCAAAGAACGAGGGCAAACTTTCTCCCATTACCAAACGTTTGTGTAAGGAAACTAACATAACTGGCACAGAAGTGTTCTACTGGGGGACCTACTTGGAGGTTCATGGGTAGTTATAAGTGGTGATCTGATTAGGGTAACTATTTCATAACCCCCATTAGGGGACTTATAGCCCCACTTATAGCTACCCATGAACCTCCATGTAGCGGACCCCTGAGCCCGAAGTCCTCTTCGAAGCAGCCTTCGAGGTGTCAAACCTAAACCTATAGCCTGCCATATTGCACAAGCTAACCGCATGCCCTGAAACCCTGACCCCAACAACCTCTAAAATCAAAAACCCTTAACCCTGAACGAGCAAAACTATCCTCTCGCAGTCCCCGTACAAGTATACTATAACATGCATCATACCCCAGCTAATATAGGGGCCTTGCCAACACACGTACTAGGAATAGCATTAGCGCTAGAACCCAAAACCCTACACCGCTTCTACACTAAGCGCCAAGGCCCTAAACCCTAAACCCGCCTTCTTGTTGATGTTCTTGCTGAGCTTTTTCTGCTCGGAGTTCAACTTTTCTAAGCGACCCTGGGCAGAGGCTTAGGGTTTAAGGTTTAGGGTTTAGAAGCTGAGGGATGAAGGTTGCTGGGGTGCCACATGGGAGTTTGAGAAAATAGGGGTACCTTATTTTGGGGTCCTTATAATAAGGATCCTACTATTTAGGGTATATACTATATTAGGGTCCCCCTATTTTCGGAAACTCCCACATGGGAGTTTGAGATTGGGGTTTCCAGCACTTTCAGAGCATGACCTGCCGACTGTGGCTTGGTACTACAGGGGTCGCAATGATTCGCAGTATGTCGCCTTCCAATTCTTCCGGCTCGCCTTGAATACACGCCAAGGCCGCATTGCCGCAGCTGGTAACTACTAACCCTTATGGGACATTGGGGGTTTTGCTGTTTGTTGGGGTTAACGAATCACAAATCGCTGTGTAAGGCCTGTAGCAAAACAGAACTTGTTGAAGATGACCCTAAACCCGAAGCCCCAAAGCCCCCAAGCCCCTAAACCCTAAACCCTAAACCCCCAAAGCCCTAAACCCTAAGAACTAAACCCCAAACCTTCACTCCTGCCTTGTTCTGCTGGTAGTGGTTGCCTTGAAAGTCGAAGTCCGTCCCCTTCTTCCCGAAGAGAGCCTCCGCAGGGTGGATGTAGGGGCCTTAATGGGGGTTTAGGAGTTTAGGGTTCAGGGTTTAGGGTTCAGGGTTTAGGGTTCAGGGTTTAGGGTTTAGGGTTTAGGGTTCAGGGTTTAGGGTTTAGGGCCTTAATGGTTAGAGCAGGGTACTGCTTAGGCTTCAGGGTTTAGCCTTGAACTTCTAGTAAAGCGCAGAAAGCTGGAAACCGGATTAAGGCCAAATGATGCTGGGATTCCCTATGCATTAGTCTTAGGGGTTGAGGCTGTGGGGTTTCCAACTTTTGGGCCTTTGCTGTGATTAGAATAGTGTTTTGGGGGGGTATGATAAGTGTAGTATACTATGCCCCCAAGGCCCTTTTTTCCCATATTCAGGCCTCTGCATTAGGTTCGTCTGCATGAGCTGCAGGGCTTCGGCTTGTGGGTTTCGTGCCGTCGAGTTTGCTTTTTCCGATTTTTTGCAAAAAATCAAAAATTTAGGGTTTAGGGTTTTAGGGTTTAGGGTTTAGGGTTTAGGGTTTAGGGTTTAGGTTTTCCCTCCAGTGCAGGGGTTCAGGGTTTAAGGGGGTCAAGGACTTAGTGCGCGCATCTCCTAGGATACCCAGTAACCTAAGAATAAAAAGGCCTCTCTTTTTGGTATTGGGTAACTTTATAAGGAACCTAGGACTACAAAAAGGGAATAAGGGTACTACTGGGCATCCTAGTCTCTAATCAGGGGGCTTCAGGTTTCGTTGCAGATAGGGTTTAGGGTTTAGGGTTTAGGGGATGAGGGCAGTCGCACTGCGGCTTACTTGATTAGGGCTTTATCCAGGTGTTGGGATGTTGGTGGCAATAAAAAAAGGGTGAAGAGATGCATCAAAGGGATTGGCTCTGCTGCTTCGGAGTTTTGAGCTGAAGGGTTCAGGGTTTGCAGTGGAGTAGTTTTTCGGTTCTCAGGGGCTAGACACAAGATTGCAAGAGCTTGAACCGTATACCGCTAATCCCAAACCCCCAACCCAAACCAAAACCTTAAACCCTGAACCCCAAACCCTAAACCCGAAACCCCAAACGCTAAAACTTGAGACCCTTAACCCTGAAACCCTAAACCCGAAACAATCGGGGAGTTGGGGGGACCTGCTCCTTCTGGATCCAGGGGTGCTCCTTCTCCATGCGGGCCACCACAACATGGGACTCTTTATCATCCTCACGGAGCGTAGGGTTTAGGGGTTAAGGCTTTAGGATTTAGGGTTTAGGGTGGCTGCTTTGGTGTTGAGAGGTTTCGAGGGAGGGCGGCATCGGGGTTTCTGGAGCTGGTGGTACGCAGGCTGTCGAAAGTCTAAAAGTTTTCATGAGGGCTTATGAGCTGCAGAGCCTACAACGTTTGAAAGGCTACTCCACTACAGCTAAGGGGCCGTCTATGGGGAAATCAGAATGTGGGAGTTTCCGAAAATAGGGGTACCTTCTTTTGGGGTCCTTATAATAGGATCCTACTAATTAGGGTTTCTGTATTCGGGTCCCTTATTTTTCGAAACTCCTAAACCCATATAGAGCCCTTTCAAGGAACCCTTGGGCTTTGGGTTCCCCTAAAGGTTCCTTTTAGGGTTCCCCGTCTATGGCGTTCCCTCACAGGCTCCTTTTAGGGACTCCTTGCAGGTTGCTTTAAGGGCTTACCTTAAGGGTCCATGTACCATGTACCCAAATAGGATATACTTTGGGCCAAATGTACCGATATAGGGAGTACTTTCAGGCCAAGTTTTTCCTATTGGAGACATGGACCCTCAAACCCTAAACCCTCGTAGAAATCTTAAAGGAATCCCTAAAGGAGCCTTGAAAGCAGCCCTTAAAGGGCTTAGGGTTTAGTGGCTTGGGGGAACCGTCCTTCTGGAGCTGCTGTATCTTGTGCGTGACTCGCTTCTGCTCGAGCTCCTGATCCGTCTTCGGGTTTAGGGCCGTTTAGGGTGTAGGATTTAGGTTTAGGATTTAGGGCTGACATTTTTTAGGGTTTAGGGCTGTTTAGGGTTTAGGGTAATTCTAGGTGTTCGAGTTTAAGGCTTAAAATTTGGGGTTCGGGATTTACAATTCCAAGTTTAGGGTTTGCGGCTGTTTTTGGTTGAGGACAGGGGGCTTGAGATTTGGGGTTTGTTTGCTTGGACTTCCAAACAAACAAATCTAAGCCCCGGACCCCCTAAACCCTATACTCTAAACCCTAAACCAACCACTACAGTCAGTACTGAAACATGGAGGCCTTAATAACCAGTGTGGGCTTTCAATTTGGCAGGAAGCCCCAGAAAGATAGCGTTACTTATCATTCCCACCTCTCGCCCAAACCCTAAGCCCTAAACCCGATATCATACACCTTAAACCATAAGCCCCGAACCCTAAATCATACACCCTGAACCCTAAACCTTAAATTACTGTAGACCCTAAACCCTACATCATGCACCCCCATACCCTAAACCCTAAACCCTACCCTACCCTGTTCCTTCTCTTCCCGCTTCTGCTTGTTGCCGGTCAGCTCTTCTGCCAACTGGCCCAAGGATTCGTCCAAGTTCCTTGCATTGGCATAAGGCTTAGGGCGATTTAGGGTCTATGTTTGTGGGGCGTGAGGTACGCAGACTATCCTAAACCCTATAAACACTAAACCCTAGAGGCTGTCGAACATTCACAAACTCTAAACCCTAAACCCTAAACCCTCAACCCTAAACCCTAAACCGTGGCTTCGGGTTGTCAGCCGGGCTGCTTGGGTCACTGGCCCACGGTTTAGGGTTTTTAGGGTTTAGGGTTTTTAGGGTTTAGGGCTTTTAGGGTTTAGGGCTTAGGGTTTAGGGTTTAGGGCCCACGAATACTATAGCAAACCAGACCCGAAGGGTCCAAGTAGTCGGCTCTCAAGTCCTTTAATAGGGAGTACTTGGACCCTCTGGGTTTAGGGTTTAGGGTACTGCCATAAACGCACCCAGAATTAAGGAATATGGCTTAAATTCTATAGGGCTTCATATTATGAGTTAGGCTATATTCCTCAATAGAGGGGTATTGGGCTCTCTGGGCAAATGTCTGGTTGAGTATTGCCAGTAGCCGTCTCAAGCCTGAACCTGGCTGTGCTGCTGGCCGCACTACCCGAATCTCAACGCAGAAATCGCCAAATCCTGAACCTCAGGAGTCTAAACCCTAAACCCTAAACCCTAAAGTATGGTTATAGTCCCAAAGGAAAATCGACTCCGAGACCCTATTCTAATTAAGGCTGAACTTAAGCCGATGTCGATCCTGACTCCTACGGACGCCCGTAATCGCACAACCAGGAGAATAAGCAGTCGTTCATGTTACTCCATAGTTCAAGCTCCATTCCGGTTGGGGTCTCCTTGTCTAGAAATGTATTCTCTAATGGTCCTACTTTCAAGGGGTCCTTTCGAACATAGAAATGGAACCTCTGCGCTACCTTACATTCCTGACCTTAGACTCCGCACAAAAGCATTCGAACCCAACCGAAAAAAAGATCAGAACGCCAATCTAACCCTAAACCCTAAACCCTAAGGGAACGACCACCACACAAACGTTGTACTCCAGGGCTCTGGAGTTCCACCCTGTCCGCGGTGGGGGGGTTTCAGGTTTTGGGGTTTAGGGTTTAGAGTTTAGAGTTTAGGGTGTGGGGGTTAGGGTTTGGGGTTTAGGGTTTAGAGTTTAGAGTTTAGGGTGTGGGGGTTAGGGTTTGGGGTTTAGGGTTTAGAGTTTAGGGTTTAGGGTGTGGGGGTTACCTTGACCCGGAATAACCTACCTTTTTAAGAACTTATATAAGGAAGTCATAATAGGGAACCCTAAAAAGGCAGGTTCTTCAGGGTCTAGGTAGGGTTTGGGGTTTAGGGTTTGGGGGTTCAGGGTTTTGGGGGTGGGGATGTTGGGATTTGGGTTTTGGGCTTACAGTCTGGATGGCCTTGTACGGGTTCTTGCAGGGGCTTCTACACAAGTAACATAGGAGGCTATATGACTCGACTACAAACATACAAACTCACGGCCGATGATTGCGGAGCTCTTGCTCTACCAAATATCGGAGATCTTATTGCCTCTATTATTACGTTAGCAGGAGTATACATCTACATCTACATCATCTACACATGTGTATATACATACATATATGTAATACAATATGTTCAAGCCCCGAAATTAGGGGACCAAGGCGTCTGCCAAGAGAAGGTCAAACTCCCTTGGACTGGAAGAGTGATTGATGCTTGAGCTCCGCCTGCTGCAATGGACAGGTCATTGTCAGTGACGCCTATCATTTGGAAGAGACTTCCAAAGCAGGTATCCAGTTTCAAGATCTCACTCGCCACTTCCATCATGGCTTCGCCCACCACAAACAGTTGGGGCGACACTCGTATTCGTGCACGTGGCACTCGCTGCTCCTGGCAGGCATCACCAACAGGTGACATCTGCGGATACATCTCAGCAGCTTCCATCTTGGCAGAGCAATCAATGGGGAGACCCACAGCCGTGAGAATCACCACCGGGTGACTCGTCGACTGCGTAAGTTTCATCGGTGATGCAACTATCTCTGTCCCCACTCTGTTTCCAAAGCACATAGGAAGAAGTTTAGGGTTTGGGGTGCAGGATTAAATTTAGGGTTCAGGCTTGAGGTGTTGGTTCAGGTCGCCCCAGGGCTCAACGGTGCGTCAGAACGTGTAGGGTTGCAGAGGGCTTCGCAGGGTGCGAAACGGCTTTTGATTTTGGTGGATTAGAACCTCAAGCCCCAACCCTCAAGCCCTGACGTCCTGTAACCCGAACCCCCGAGCCCCCTCTACCGGACCCCGTATAGCTGTTTTATAATCATTGATATGGGAGTTTCCGAAAATTGGGGGGTTCCTTATTTCGCGGTCCTTATAATAAGGATCCTACTATTTAGGGTACTATGCTAGGGTCCCCTATTTTCGGAAACCCCGATATGGGGCTCTTTGGCAACCCCACCCCAAACACTAAGGGCAAGGACAATCCTAAGCTGGGGACTCGGCTCTACAAGACTCGTCTCAGAAGGAACGCGGCTTGAGAGTAAGCATGTGGGCACAGGGTTTAAGGCTATTTAAAACGTTCAGGTTTGATGATGGCTTCGGGTTCGTGGCTCTAAGGCTAAGAGGGTCAGAGGGCCCAGCTTGGTCCAGGTGCCTGCACGTGGAGCATACTCGCACTATATAAGGCTTAGCTTCAGGCTATGTCGTTCAGGTGCGAGTGGGAATGTACGTCGTTCCTGAGCCCCACAAAAAAAGCATTCAGGCAGGATTACAGGGGTCTGGTCTAGCTTCTGTGCCTCATGATCTCCAGCCGTTCCCCGGCGGAGGTATAGGACTCCTGCAGGCGGGCTGTCATGTGAGGTAGGGCTCGTCGTAGGGCGTAGGATGTTGGCCAATGGGCGTGAAAAGTTTGCAGGATCTGGGATAGGGGTTTAGGGTTTAGGGTTATGGGGCTTGTGAATATCTTTGTGTTGCATATTTCGGTGTCCGGCTCTTGACACTAATTACTCATAAAACAAACCCTGATCGCAAGTTGCGAAAGACTTCCTCAAGCTGCCGTTTTGTCGGGGTCTATAAGGGTTCTTTACACACATCTATATGTGTGGGCTCTTGGTTCTGAACGCAAAGCTGACTGCGCTCTGCGGGAAAACAGCTTCGATAAGAGTGATCTACACTGAATTGCCCTGTCTGGGTTTGTGGACTTCCAGGCCCTGTGAGTAGGGTTTCGGATTCAGGTTAAGTCCACGTTTGGCCACATAGACATAGCCCTCTACGTCTCCACCAGATTTCATAGTTCGACAGACTTGTGGTGATCAAGTTTGTGGTGTTAAGGGCTTAGGATTTAGGGTTTAGGGGTTTAGGGTTTATGGCAGACTGGGGATAAAGCCGTGGGCTCTGGGGTTTTGAGCTCAGAGGATACAGGTTTAATCCAACTTTTCACGCGCACTCTACAGGGTGCTTTTGATTCATACCCCCCTGCATAGCCCTCTGTAGTTCATGCTGTAGCATCCACAAAACCACGACAATTATTAAGATGCGCTGCCTATGTTAGGAGGTGTCGGAACCGCTCGCCCTGAGGCTTGCAGGCTCTTTTCTGATTTAGCCCGTTTGATATTTAGGATCCTAAAAGGTAGCCCAAACAGGAACTACAATGGCGACGATAGGTACGGCTCAAGGCAAGCGGGGGCGATTCCCCATGATCCCTTCGCTAAAACCACCCTTTGAACACAAAGCTGCCCCCAACACAAGCAACTACGTACAGTAAACCCAAAAAGTTGGAAACCGGATTAAGGACAACTAGTGCTGGGATCCCTTATACATGACTCTTGAGGATTGAGGCTATTGGGTCTCCAACTTTTGGGCTTCTACTGTATAAAGACCTTCAAAGCAAAAACCGGAAGGGGCCTTCTTGGCTTCAAGGTTCTCGGACATTTGCTCGATCTCAGCCAGGATGGCCTCTTGGCCCTTGCCGCTGTCCTTCAACTTAGAGATGTACGCGGCGGTGACACAAAGAACTCTGGGTTTAGGGATCTAGAGGGTTTTGGAGTTTGGATTTCAGAGAACCAGGGGAGTTTCAAGTTCAGGACTTGGGGAATTGAAGGTGCAGGTTTCGATGCTTCTAAGATTCCATGGTGGGTTTCGGGGCTTGGGGTTTCGGGGCTCTTATGGCCGATGGTTTGGGGTTTGGGGGTCCTGAATTCTCAGAGTTGTGCTACCTTTGGTTAGTAGGGAATAGAAGAATGGTAGCAATAGTAGTTATAATTTCACCCCATTCCTCCATTCCCTACTAACCAAGGGTAAGAGTGGTGCTACCTTGCACCATAAGTCCTACACCCTAAGCTCTCGTTGGAGAGATGATGGAAGCCTGAGGGCTTCGACCATCGTGGCGAGACCTCAACATCAGGGTCGTCCTTCAGGGGCCCTAATAAAGGCCCTATAACTATCGCTAGGATGTTCAAAGCTTTTAGGTTTAGGGCAATGTTTGGAGTCTGACTCTGAGGAAAAACCCCACATACAGCCCTTAACACCTGCAAAATCCTAAAACCCGAAACTCGACGCCCAGAAGAACCTCCTGAACCCTAAAGCCCTAAAGCCCTAAAACGCGCAACCCCAAGCCCCAAAAATACTGAAAACCCTGGAACCCCAAAATCCTAAAACCCCAAGCACTCTCCGTAACACGGAGACGTTCGGAGGTCCTGGTCCTTTGCGTCGAGCGCTTGGAGTTCCTGAGGGGCGCACATTTCGAGGTTCATGGGTAGTTATAAGTGGGGTTATAGTTAGGGTAACTGTGGTTATAACCCCTATTAGGGGACTAATAACCCCATTTATAACTACCCATGAACCTCCAAGCAGAATATGCTCGCTTGCCTTGGGATCCTTCTTCTATGTATGCATGTTTACGGGTGTGAGGGGGTAGGGGTTTGGGTTTGGGGTCCAGCTACTGCTGTTTAATGAAAGGCTGAGTTCGGGGTTGACAGGGGTACAGATGCGGAACAGTTTGGCTTTTCGGGTGTCCAGCCTGAACTTCACAGCCGCGCCCCTTGTAAAGGCTGTAGAGGGCCCCTTATGGGGTTTGAATCTAAGAATGGCAAACTCTTTGGACCTAATGAAGAGAACTGCCAAGGCGCACTGTAGCAGGGGTTGTGTTTCTCCGGAGAATACACACGGCCATATACCCTGGCCCTGTACTAGGAGCCCAGAAAGGTGCCACAGCAGGCCTGTCTAATCCTGGCTAAGGCCCAGAATCCCGCGCAGGTACTCACTCAAACGGCAGTGGCAAAGCCGGAATTAAAGCCTCTGCTAACCCTCACCTGTTCAAACAAGTCAAACATAAACCAAAAAAAAAATCAAACCAAGAATTCTAACCGCTTGTTGGAGACAAACAGAAACCCTAAACCTGAAAGTACGAATAGCTTTCCCACGGTGCCGAGGATCGTTGCGAAGGACTTCAACCTCCACCTGCGCCTGCCAGACGTGAGGGCTAACATAGGAGCCTTGATTATTTAGGATTTTGGGGCCATGTAACTATAATTATAAGCAGGAACCCCCACAATAGTATTGGTAATTATTTAGGCCCTATAATAAGGAATTTAGAGGGCTTTACTAGAAAGGCTCCGTAGGGGTTTAGTGTTTCTAGGGCTAAGGGCCTTGGAGGGTTTTTCAGAGCTCTACTAGCAAGAGGCCCTGTGGGAGTTTTAGGGTGTTGGGGTTTAGGGTCAGGGTCTAGCCTATACTGAACTTAGAACCCTAGCAAAAATCATCATTTTAGCTGCTTCTTAGGGATTTTAATAAGCAAAAATTAAAAATCATTTCTAAGTACCCCTACGTACCAGAGTTCGGGTATTCGGCTCGAACCCTGAACCCTTGAGCTTGGGGTCACACGGCCCTGCAAAAAGCAAGCCCTGGAAAACCCTCTGGAGATTTCTTCCGACGACTCAGAGCGGCCTGACCGTTTAGAATCGGGTTGTGGAAGGTGTGTAATAGTATGACTCTGTAGGGCCAGTATAGAGACTCTGTTGCCTGATTGTGGTGATTATGGCTATGGCTATGGTCCAGAGCTTTGAAAACAATTCTACCCAAAGAGACAGCCCAGAGGGTCCGGGTACCCAAATAGGGTCCCAAAATCCATAGGTTTTTGGACCTTGAAACCCTACTATTTGGGTACTTGCACCCTTAGGGACAGGACTGTGCAACCTACTTGTCGGGTATCATTGGGAACTACAGGTTAACCTTTTTGGTTATATAGGGATTATATAGGGACTATACTACCCAAAAAAGGTTAAAGCGCGACGTGGAATAAGCTGCGTCCCCAGCGAAAGGCGTGAGACGAGCTTCGCTAATTTGCGAAAAAAAAGTTAAAGGTTACCTACTCGACCACTAGGTTATACGTTTCTACCCAAGGAGATAGGATTGTACAACTGCCCACAGAGGCTGCTTCCGTTTGCCCACAGCGTCCACCTTGAACTGCTGAGATGCAGGCCTATGCCATCCTAGTCGATGTCCAAGGCCTTCTTCTTCCCCAGAGACTCCAATATCCCTTAATCAAGGAATATACCTTAAATTATAGTAGGATCCCTAATATAACTTAAGAAATATTCCTGAATTAAGGGATATTGGAGTCTCTGGGTCCGGAGGTTGCACTACAAAAATCCCGAGCACACCAACCGTTCCGAGGAAGAAGCCCTACGTATTCCAACATAGAGCTCTCTCATTATGACGAGTGTTCTGGGTTTCTGAGGCTAACCCTATACTACCCTAAACCCTGAAATCCTAAACCCTAGACCCTAAACCCTGAAATCCTAAACCCTAAACCATGAAATCCTAAACCCTAAACCCAGAAATCCTAAACCCTAAACCATGAAATCCTAAACCCTCCTAAACCTTAGGTTCCAAAGCTTCAACTCCCGATCCCGGGCAGCGACATCAAAGGCCCTGCGAGCCTGCTCCGTCTTTTCTCGCTGCCTTGGCTTTAAGGGGGCATGGGGCTTAGGGTTCCGTAACCCCATGAGGTTTAGGGTTTAGAGCTTAAGGCTTTGGGTTTAGGGGTTCCGTAACCCCATGAAGGTTTATTTTTTCTACGAACGCCTCTTTCCATCTGCCTATGTAGGTGTCTGGGATAGGTTTGGTTTAGAGTTTAAGGTTCTGGGTTTAGGGGTTCCGGGTGTAGGGTCGGTTGAGACTGTAGGGGTTCAGAGCTTAGGGTAACCAAAAGCTTTGAGAGGTATACTTTGCAGCCCTACTGTTGATGGACAAAATCCTGCATGACCCTAAGGACCCAAAACTAGCGGAATTATGGTATATTCCTTATTATGGGTCATGCAGGATTTTGTCCATCAGCAGTATGTACAGCTTTGGGGCTAAGTCCTTATACTAAGAACATCAGAGACTCAGAAGTCTACATGCACATGTTGTGTGAACTTAGAACCCTAGCAAAAATTATAATCTTAGCTGTTTCTTAGGGGTTATAATAACCAAGAATTCAAAATTATTTCTAAGTACCCTGTGACTACTATCAGATTCGGTATGAGGTTTAAGGGGCTTGAGTTTCAATCAGGGCCGGAGAACTAGGACTAAGTTGGCGTCCAACTATAATTCCTCAAAACCCTAAACCCTAAATCTTTCATCATCCCGAAACTGGTTTGGGAACCCCACAGTTTCAGCCCTACAGAGGGCTTCGGAACCCCAACAAAAATGGGAACCCGGTTTGGAGGACCGAGCCAAGAGTGGGTCTTTTCAAAATAGGAAAAGATACCCTAGTCCGCCTTTTGAGAATCCCTTGATGAAGGCGCCTTCAGCGATCTGTCTATTCGTAATTAGGGGGGCTCCATGCAAGGACTTGGCTGGTTTGTCATGCATGCGCCGAAGCTCCACAATGAGATGGAATCCGCTCAGAGCCCAAAACCCGCGCCATTTAACCCCATACCACCCTAAATCCTAAACCCGAAACCCCATACCCTAAAATCCTCAACCCTGAACCCTTAACCCTAAACCCCCCCATACCCTAAACTCCGCAGTCTGGGCACTTCTCGATCTTCTCCACGTTCTGCTTGGCGGCCTTCTTCAGCTCGACGACCTCTCTGGAACGGAGTCGTTAGGGGGGGGGGGTTCAGCGTTTGGGGAAACGGGGGTCTTATAGGGGGGCTCACCGTTTTGGGGAAATCAGGTTGACAAAAGCTCTCTTCAAGCGGTCTCCTTACCGGGGTTCAGCGTTTTGAAAAAAGGTTGATAGTGAAAGGGGTGATATAGGTGGGCTGTAAGGGCTTGTCTTGATGGGCTTGTTCAGCGTTTTGGGGAAATTGGGTTGATAAAAGTGGTGATATAGGTGGGCTTGAAGGGCTTGGCTTGAGGGGCTTGCAGGGATTATGTTGTTTGGGATCGAATAGGGTTTGATGGGTTGGGGTTGAGGGATGTAGGGCTTGGAGTTTATGTTGAGGGAATCTTTGCATTCGGGTTCTCAGTGCATTTTTTGAGTGCTGACGTCTTCGAACCAAAACAGCTTTTAGAAGGTTGAGGCCTGTTGTTCGATAGTTCGGGCAGCCTTCTTTGTTCACCTTAACTGGAATGCTTGCAGCACTTGACGTGAATGTGAGGCGTCCTCGGCAACAGTGCCCAGAGACTCCAAGATCCCTTCATTAAGGAACATACCCTAAATCATGTTAGGGATCCTACTATACATTAAGGTATATTCCTTAATTAAGGGATATTGGAGTCTCTGGGTGGTTCCACTGAAGCCAAGACTAAAAATGTGCTGTACCCTTTCGTGGGGAGTCCGAGAAGCCCCCAAGCAGGGCAGCAAAGTCTAAAACCCTGCTGGGTAAACACTGAATCTACGGCACGTTTTTTGCTTACGAGGAGTTCTGCTTTTGTGGCTTGGACTCGAAACAGCAAAGTAGAATCCGAAGTAGCTCATGTTAGGGAGGCAAGTTCTGCACTTCCAGGCGTATAAGTTCAGGGTATAGATTAATCTAGGGTCCAAAAACAGCACATAAGCAAAATTGGGATAGTGATATCCCATATAAACCCCCTTAAAAGGAAGGCCAATAAGGTAGGGATATCCCCATAAAATGCTTATGCTTACGTGCTTTTGGGGGTCCTATAATCAAGCGGAAGTCCTCCCTTGAACTACCCACGTAGCCTAAGTTTTCGGGCCGACAGAGGTTAGGCCCTCGCCCTAAGCTACTACGGTTGATGATATAAATCCTGCATTACCTTAAGGACCCTAAACTATGGGAATTTTGGTATGTTCCTTATTATGGGTCATGCAGGATTTATATCATCGACCGTAGGACCCTCCTTGTGCCCTCAAATAGGGGTATATGGGCCCAAATAAGGGGCATTTAGGGTCTAATAGAGGGTTGATGGAGGGTCTAGGTACTCTCGTTGGTACGAAAAGTTGTGAGAAGACAAGACAGGAAATTGGGTTGCGGTGGCAACTTCGAAGCTTGCCAGGGGGTTGAAGAAGCACGTGTTACAGCATCTTTGTAGGGCTCCTGAAGCCTGCTATTCTAGGGGATGCCCACTCAAACCTAATCAAGCCCTCGGCATCAGACCACACCATGGCTGAAACCTAAACCCAAAGCGCCGCACCTGAAGTTCTCTATACATACCTTGTACCCCAAGCCATGTACCGCAAACCCTAAACCGTAAACCCTGTGCTATAGGGCCTTAATAGTTAGAGTACTCATTATACTCCAAATTATAATAAGGAACCCCCAATATAGTGTTGGGAATTTGTTTAGGCTCCTATAGTTCCTCCTTATCAGTCCTTGTAATAATCGCCCTTATAGTAGCCCTTACAGGCCCCTTAAAAGGAACCCTATTCAAACGATTCAGGCCTAATAGTACCCTTAATCCTAGTCGGGACCCTAAACCCTACACCCTAAAGTCGTAAACCCTGCGCCCTACAGTGGAACCCCGAAAGTTGGAACATCGTTATCCCCATACCCTTAAGTTAAAGTATAAGGGGAACCTAGCACTAATCCTCCTAAGGCCATGTTCCAACTTTCTGGGGTTCACCATAATCCTAGTCGAGGCTGCACATCTTCGCCTGACGCTCGAAGTACTTGATGCGCTCGTCGCGACCGGAATCGAGGCTCTTGATGTCCTGGCGGCGGGTTTGGGGTTTAGGGCTTAGGGTTTAGGGTTGAGGGCTTACGTACCAACATTTTTTTCCTTAGGGTTCCCTATTTTATGCTAAGCACCGCAGACTGTACCGAGGAAAACCGGTCTAATCGCTATACCCTCAAGCCTGCATCCTAACGCCCTGAACCGCTGAAGCCCTAAAACCCTAAGCCCTAAAGCCCTAAAGCCCTAAAACCCTGAAGCCCTAAAGCCCTAAAGCCCTAAAGCCCTGAAGCCCTAGAACCCTAAGCCCCTAAATCCCTAAGCCCCAAAGCCCCTGGCACGAGGCTTTAGATCGGTAGAAGCTTCGAAGTCAAGAAGTCCTGAAATCGTAGTCAGGAGTGGTAGGAGCACTTTCTGTATAAATAGTAGGATTTTGGAGGGGGGTTTTTGGATTTCAGCATAGTAAGAAACCCCTACAAATAAGACTAGGAGCAATTTCTGTATAAATTGTAGGAGTTTGGAGCTCAGAGACTCCAATACCCCTTAATTCAGGAATATACAATAAATTATAGTAGGATCCCTAAAAAAATTATGATTCAAGGAATATTCCTTAATTACGGGATATTGGAGTCTCTGGGCGGTGCGTTCAGGGTTTGGGGCCAATAGGGATTTGACCCAAACCTGAATTCCTGAAGCCCTAACGAAACTAAACCCCGACCGTAAACACCTGAACACCTCAAGCCCCGAAAGCCATAGTGATTGGGCATCTGGGAGTGCCCTACATGAGTGGTTGTCAAAATGGGGGCCCTTTTTGGGTGCCCTCAATCAGAGGTGCTGTATTATAATAGGGACCCAGAAAGGGAACATAATTTTGACAACTAGCCACATAAGGAAACACTGCTTAAGAAACGTATGAAACCCTAAACCCTAAACCCTGAACCGTGTGAGTGCCCTAACCCTGCACCAGGAGCTCTGTAGACCTTGGAGCCTCGGTGAGAGCTGGGGAGGTAGGCAGAGACAAAACCACCGAAATCCTAAACCCTAAACCCTAAACACCAAAATCCTAAACCCTAAACCCTAAACCCCAAAATCCTAAACCCTAAACCCTAAGCCCTAAACCCCAAAATCCTAAACCCTAAACCCCAAAATCCTAAACCCTAGGACCCGAAATTGTAGGACGGCCAGCGAGGAAAGGCGCCTTCTCGAGCTGTTTCGAAGACTTCTCCAACGCCTTTTTCTCCTGGAGCTGGCTCTACTTTGTATGTGGGGCCTTCATAGAGGGAATGTAGCCTGGGCTTACGGCCTAAGGTTTAGGGTTTAGGGTTGATGGTCCAGGGTTTAGGGTTTAGGGTTTATTACTTGACCCTGAATAACCTACCTTTTTAGGGCTCCTTATTGTAATTTCCTTAAACCAGCCCTTAAAAAAAGGTAGGTTATTCAGGGTTAAGGTAGGGCATTAGGATTGGAAGTTTAGAGGATATCACAAGTACACCAGGGTTTTGAGGTATATCATAATATGGGAGTTTCCGAAAATAGGGGACCACCTAGTACCGTAAATAGTAGGATCCCAGAATAAGGTACCCCTAATTGTCGGAAACTCCTATTTTCAGTTTAAGTAGGTCCGGGCTGCAAGGCGACATTTTCGCTCAGGGTTTAGGATTGGGCTTATACTTGGGGCTTATAGAGCTCAGGGCTCCTACCCTGAAGCCAACCTCCACGTAAGCTGCAGCCGCGACAGTAGGGTCGCGTCTCAATCGAATCGAGGCGAAGTGGGTTTATGGTTTACGGTTTACGGGATAAAGGGTGTGGGCAGAAACGCATACTTTGGGGGCCTCAATAATTCCCTATTCCATTTTGGGGCTTCCTTATGCTAAGTATAGCATAAAGGGCCCCAAAACCCTATTCTAATTACGAAGGCCCCTATCTTAAAGCGATGCACGACTGACGCCCCTATCTCTTCACTGCCATAGAATCCACTCCATCCCCTTGGACCTCTCATCCGGGATTCCCTTATGTTCCCAAACCCTAAACCCTAATCCCTCAACTCTATACACCCTAAACCCTACCCTAAACCCTAAGCCCTAAACCCTAAACACTAAACCCTAAACTCCCACTTCCGGCGAGGCGTCCTCCGGAAGATTTTGGATGTCCTCCTGCAGCTTCTGCAACTCCGTTTGCATGTCCTTCGGCTTGGGGTTTAGGGTTTGCCTTAACCCTGAATAACCTACCTTTTCAGGGCTCCTTATCATAGTTGCTTTATATAAGTCCTTAAAAATGTAAGTTCTTCGGGGGTAACCCGGGGTAAGGTAGGGTTTAGGGTTTAGGATATAGGGTTTATAGGGTTTGGGCAGGGTTTAGTTTCTAAACTTCCCATCCGAAAGTACCAACCATAAACCCCTAAACTCCCAAATCCCAAAGCCCGCACCCTCCCAAGAATGGACCCCTAGACTTAAACGCAGCTTCCAGCTTCAACATTCAGAGCCCTTGGGCACTCAGGGCGGCAAGGAGCATTGGCTTCCAATCTCCGGGGACAGAGTGCAGGATGTTATAATCAGCGGATCTTCCCGTCTTCATTGGGGTAGAGACAATCTCATGCGGGCAGTGGATTGCGGCGCCGCGCAACATAACTTTTATCGCACATTCATCTTGGACTCTACAACCAAGGTTATGTCTGTCTGGGCATCCCAAGTAACCTGATCGAAAGACGCCCCAGAACAACGAGGACCTTGGAAGGGGGGAATCACTGTTCTAAAACAAATCCTATGATGTATTAGTAACTAGAATAGGGGTTTGGGGCATACTGTGCTATGATCATAGTAAGCCCCTAAGGAACTCGGGAACAGTTTGGTAACTATTCAGGGCACGATAATTCTGGACTCGCTTGAAGCGGCTTCCTGCACCGACTGCTCCGTCGTTGCATGCTCACTCCGGTTGATGCGGTCTTCCAGGAGAGCCAACCTGGGATTCTTGAGAACAGGCCCTAAACCATAAACCTCGAACCCCGAACTCTTGTTTGTCTTGTTCAGGGCATACTTAGGGTTCAGGGCTTTGGGACTCGATGGCGTAGGTTTAGGGTTTAAGATGCTGGGGCCTGGTCCAAGCTATTGTTCCTGTTCGGAGGCGCCGTAAGTGCCACCAGGATGCCAGAAAGATCCTGAAACCCAGATCGCCGCGCAACAAATAGTACCAATCCCCACCTAAATGGGTGGTTGTCAAAATTAGGGTCCTTTTTGGGTCCCTAATATAATACGGCACCGAATATTTAGGGTACCCAAAAAGGGACCGTAATTTTGACAACTACCCTAATACACTCCCTGCATGACTGTACCATGGCAGACCCCCTGAGTCGAATTATCAAGGTCTCCAGATGGAAGTTTCCGAAAATTAGGGGACCCTGATATAGTACCCTAAATAGTAGGATCCTTCTTATAAGGACCCTAAAATAAGGCAGCCCTAATTTTCGGAAACTCCCAGATGGACATACACCCTCGGAGAAGAGCCCTCTACCACCCGATAACACATCCCGAAGCCCACCTATGCCTTCGAGGTATTTAATCCCTAAACGTACCCTTAACCCGAATCTCCAAACCGCCCTTGAACCATTAAGGTCCCCTGTATAAGGAGCCCTGGTAGGGCTTGAAAGTACCAAAACATCCCCCACCGGGACAAAGGAAAGCCAAAGGGGCTCGTGCTCCTTGCACTTGACCTGGCTCTTTGGTTTAAGCTTGTCGGATTCAGGGGTTTGGGATTTAGGCACAAGGCTCAGGGTTTCAGGGCTTGCGTTAGGGGTTATAGGCCTTAGGGTTCAGGGTCAAAAGGGCTCGGAGTTCGGGCTTAAGTTTGGGGTTTAGAGCTGAGGAAAGCAAAGAGAGAGGTCCAGTGCAAGACCTGGTTCAGGTGTTATGAAAGCTTTTGCGGGAAGTGAAAGTTTCAGGCTCAGGGGGTTGGGGGTCAGGTGCTTAAAAAAGTGCCGAAGCCCCACATCCCTAAAGTGGCCCGAAGCCTTAAACCCAGGGATGCGGCGCCCGTAAACCCTTGGTGTCAGTAAAGCAGAGGTGCGGGTTCAGGAATCCGAATCTCAAGGATGCTTTGGGACCTTTGAAACTCCATGGAAAAAATCTACGGCTTAGGGTTTAGGGTTAGATTTTAGCGTTCCGGCTTTGAAGGGGTCCGGGTTCAAATAGTGGTAGAGTTGGACTTTAATACAGGGGCAACCGCTACAGATCCTACCTACGGTGCACGGCACTAAGCTCTGGGGGCTCTACGAGGTGCTGAACAGCCTTGCTGACAGAAGGGGGTTTAGGGTTGAGGTTTCAGGGTTTAGGGATGAATCGCATGCTCCAAATCCCGGGCCGTGAACCGGAAACCAAAACACTGAAGCATACAACCACGAGCCTCGACCCAAAAATCACAAGCTACCAGAAGCTGCAACAGGAGGGTTGTTTAGAAGACCCTACGAGAAGTAGGCTCGCGTCTTTCTGTGTAACGCCCCAAAAACCCCAAATCAGACCATGACCCCGGAAAACCTACACTCCTGAACCCCTTAAAGCCGCAAACCCCGAAACCCTAAACCTTAACGTTTAAAACTCCTTCGCACTTAAACCCTTAAAGCCCTACAGTCTAAAACAAAACGTGGAACATCATTTTCCTCATGCCGGTAAGGTAAAGTATTGGGGATCCAAGCAATAAAATCCTAACTCCATGTTCCAACTTATTTCCGGGGTTCACCGAAAACCCTAACCTGAACCCTACGCCCTACAGCCTAATTACACCCCAAAACCCCAAAACCTTGAACCCTTAAACTCTAAGCAATAATTTGGCATCGGCCTCGCGGTCGAGGCTCGCGTAGTGTTGGGCGGCCGCCTGCATCTTCTGAACCTCCGCAGCCGCCTTGGCCGAGCCAGGGCTTGGACTTTAAGGTCCTTCAGAGGCGTCTAAGATCTCATATAAGGGCTTTAGTACTAGACTCTTGGGGTTTTAAAGGTGTCTAGCGTCTCATAAGGGTTTTAATGGGGTTCAGAGGTTTAGGGTTTTGGGGTTCGTACCGGGGTTAAGTCCAAGGTTTATAGGTTTTTTTGTTTGCTCCTTTTTCCGCCTGTTTCGCAGCCGAGCCTAGCAAAAAGCCCTTTGGCTAGACATCCTTTGCCCACAGGTTACTGCGCATCAAAACTTGTTGCCACAAATGTCTTCTGCACTTCAAGGAGCTCGCGAGCGTCACGGCCGTAAAGGGACTCAACCTCCTCAAGTGTGATGTCAGTCCGATCCCAGCGTGCATGCAGCTCCTGATAGTCCTCAAGGCTCAAGGCTGTCTGCTGGAAATGCGCGCCCGGCTCCAAACCCTGTCGAGGCCCGTGGAGGCAAGAGGCCCTCCGGAGCCATGCTCGGCGACTCTGACGCATAGAACTAGGCTCCGAAAACGCCGAAGTGGTTGGAGGAACCTCCGGGGTAATCTGGCCAGGACTTGTGAAACCACGGCAGATATGTTGACTCGACCTTCAGAACCAGCTCGAACCGCTTCAGAACCAGCTCGAACCGCAAACTTCTTGAGAGTCTGGCAATTTGGTGGCTCCGCAGGCCGCTGTATACCACAATGCATGAGCCCGAAAAGTGCTTTGCCTGAACATCTGCAGGTCGATCATTGGTTACCCAGACTTGCCAATGCAAGGCAGAAGGCAGCCTCGAGCCCGGCAACCCGAACAAACCTCAAGCCATACATTCAAATCAAAGGCGGGCTGTGAAGACAAACCATGAACCTGAATCGCTGAAGACAAAGATGGGCAACCATCAAGCATCATCGAGCTTAAACCTTCAAGTCTTTATGAACCGAAAAAATCAAACGGCCTTCGGCGGAGGTTCTGCAGGGGCAACTTCTTCGGGGGCGCAGGCCACCTCCGAGTCGCTGTCAACCTCGATCACCGTGGGCGTCTGCGCTTGAGCAGAGGCCCGGGCGGGTTGCTTTCCATCGCCCCCGCCTGCATCGCTGCAACCAGGCGCTGGGCCGGCTGCGCCTTGGTGCCACTGACCGGCAGACCCTCGGTGCGGCACTTGGCAATCAGCGTGGCCTTGAGCTGCACCATAAGGGTCTGCATGGAGGCCTCCTCGGCCTTGCGCTTCGCCATGGCTCTTGCAACCCAATGATCCGAAGCCCTGCCCTGCGGGCTTTCTCGATTCTAGCACGAGGCTTTCCTGTGCGGTGCAAGGGCTTAGGGGAGAGGTTATTGTAGGTTCAACGGGGCTCGGGCTTCGGGCTTGGAGTTTGTAGCGGCTTTAGTAGTGTTCTTAGAGGGAGTTCTTGGGTTGTATAGGGGTTCTTTTCTGCAGGGATTGGGGCTCAGTGCGCTGGGTTTAGGGTTCAGGGCTTCGGGTTTGGCTCTATACCCCTATCGCTACAAACTGCCTTCAAGTGCAAGAGTTCTGTAAGGGTTCTTTGAAGGTTACCACAAGCGTCCTATAAGGGGTCTATCTGGGGCGTGGGGGCTAAAGGTGGAGCCTTGAGAATCTGAGTACGGTTTTGGCCCACTTTGGGGAATGCCGTGGAAACTTGTACAGGAACAACAAGGGGGCGGTACTAGTACGAATGATACAGCCCCTACATTCAACTAGAACGAACCGCAAGACCCTACTGTTGATGATACAAGCCCTGCAGTACCCATACTAAGGAATATACCATAATTCCCATAATTTAGGGTGCTTCAGGTACTGCAGGATTTATACCATCAACCGTAGTTCACCTAAACCCAGAACCAAGCCTAAACCCCGGGCATGCGTCCGTCCGAGAATCTGTCCGTTAGTGTGAGGTTCCTGTCGCCGAAACTCGAAAGCCAAACCCTAAATCTTGAATTGAAACCCGGACCCCTCATTTAGGGTTTAGGGTTTAGGGACTCTGCAAAATCGAACAGAAACCCATGAAACCCGATTCTCGATGTCAGTTTGAAGATTCCGCATTTCGGGCTGTGCCAAGCATCTGAGCCGACGAAACGATTTAGGTTTTAGGGTTCAACCCGTACAGCCTGCAAATTCAAGGCGATGACCCCGAGATAGACCCGTCTTCGCAGACACCCCAGTCCCTAGACGCCAAAGCTTAAGCCCTTCAATGAGCCTTCTCGTACTGGCAGCGGAACTGCAGGACCTTCTTCTCCAACTCCGACCTCGCTATCTGGGAGATTCCGAAAAGTAGGGGTACCGTATTTTGGTGTCCTTATAATACGGATCCTACTATTTAGGGTGCTACATTAGGGTCCCCTATTTTGGAAAACTCCCATATTACCAGGGTTTAGGTTTCTTTAAGGCAGAGCAGTCCTGGGGTGCAGGGGTTTAGAACTTTGTGGGTTCGGGCGTTTCGGCGAGACGGTGTTGGGGCTGCTATGGGAGGCATGCCACTCAAAGGGGAAAAGGAGGGACCCTTAATGGGGACCCCTACCCTAAAATGGGCTATATAATGGGTATATAATAGCTATATTAAGGGTATATACCTAGGGGTCCATATAAGGGTCCCTCCTTTTACCCCTTGAGCCACAGCTTCAGGGTGTCGGGATTTTCGGGTGTCAGGGCTGCCTGAGGTTCAGCGGCAGGGTTTAGGGTTTAGGGTTTAGGGCTTTGGGTTTAGGGGCGGTTTGTACCACAGACACACACACAGACATCACACACACACACACACACACACACACACATCACACACACACACATTTACTTTCAAGAGTCACAAGACTTCAGAAAGAGCTGCGAACCACCTTCCCAGCCCCATGATCTCGCAACTACCGCCTGGCCTTGCGCCCCAAGCTGCGCACTCTCAAACCCGATGCCATCCACTCTAAAGCCGAAGCCCTAAACACGTGGAGACCCTGAGACCATCCGACAGACAAGAAAAGCCTAGGAGGTGTGGAGGAGTAGGGTAATTGGGGTTTAGGGGTTTAGGGTTTGGGGGTTTAGGGTTTAGGGTTTGGGGGTTTAGGGGTTTAGGGTTTGGGGTTTAGGGTTTGGTACAAACCCTAAAGCAGTAAACCCTGGACCGACCCCACAGCCCTAAATCTTCCGAGCAAGAACCCATAAGGAATCTAGCTTAAGTTAAAGTAAGATCCCTAGTATGATTTAAGGAATATTCCCTAATTAAGGGGTATTGGAGTCTCTGGGTAAATCTTCCAAGCAAGAACCCTCGCAATCTGGGTTGCCGGACACTTGTTGCAGCTTCTGGAGCAGGTTGCCACCCTTCGGCGCAGAGCCGCCGGTAATGGTGCCAGCCGGGTCCTGACGTGGAAGAAACTGCTGTGTAGTATAGTAGAATTCCATACCTTGTACTAGCCTTGTACAAGGGTTTGGGGTCTAAGGATAACGGCTGCATAGTAAAGCATGGTTACTATGCCATATGCAAGGACTACGGTACCGATTTTTCAAAACTCTACATGCTGGATCATTTAGAGTTCAGGATTCTTGGGATAGTTTAGGGCTGGAGCCCTTTGAAGGAGCCTCGTCTTCCTCAGTCGACACCCCCGAAGTCTGAAAGAAATCGAAGCACTTCGAGGATCAGGGCACTGTGTTACGTGGAGCGCCTGTAACCCAGACGACCGACTTCTTGAATAGAAGGTGATATAGGGGGGGGGGGGTTCCGAAAACAAGGGGTACCTTATTTTGGGATCCTTATAAGGTCCTGCTATTCAGGGTGCTATACCACTATGGGCTATTAGACCCTAAAGATCCCTATTAGGACCCTATTAAGGGTAGATTAAGGCACCCATAAGGTCTAATAGCCCATAGTGGTATTAAGGCCCCCTGATTCGGCATTCACAACAAGTTGAGGGCCAGTAGAATTAGGTCTTTGGAGAGGTCAGCCCCCAGCCAGCAAAGGTCCTTCGGTTGATGATATAAATCCTGCATTACCCATAATAAGGAGTATACCATAATTCCCATAGTTTAGGGTCCTTAAGGTAATGCAGGATTTATATCATCAACCGTTGCAACCCTGATTGTAACCTTCGTGCCAAGCCCCCCGCACGTTCGTAGGGAAAGCCCAAGATCCCCTTGAGGTGTCAATTTGGGTGGTTGTCAAAATTATGGTCCCTTTTTGGGGTACCCTAAACATTAGGTGCCGTATTATAATAAGGACCAAAAAAGGGATCCTAATATTGACAACCACCCATTTGGGACCAGAAACCCTTTACCCAAAACCGCAGGCTTCGTTGAGACTTCAGGCTACTAGGATCCAGAGCCCTCCGAAAACTGATCAATTATTCAGGGAGTGGACAGAAGGAGTGCCTGAGTGTGTAATCCCCACCTATGCTATGAGCATCTAAAAACAAAAAATGGTTGGGCCCCCATTTAATGTTTAGGGTTTAGGGTTTAGGGTTTGGGGTTTAGGGTTTAGGGTTTAGGGTTTAGGGTTTGGGGTTTAGGGTTTAGGGTTTGGGGTTTAGGGTTTAGGGTTTAGGGCTCATTTTGCAACCGCCCAACTGTCTGACAAGAGGGCCGCACGGGCTAGGACGGGCACATTTCTTGTTCAGGGTTCAGGCTTTTGGGCTGAACGGTGTATTCGAGGTTTGGGCTCGCTGGTTTTAGGTTTTGCCCTGAATCCTAAACCCTAAACCGAAACCGAAACCACCCTAAACCCTGAACCTGAAACCCTACTTCAGCCGGGCGGCGTAGCTGTCCCCATCCCGGGTGACGGTACGAACGCGCACGTTGGGGTGGAAGGTCAGCATTTTTGCCGTCTCCGCTGTGTCGCACACCATGTACCTGCCGCTTAACATGGGAATACGAGTCTTTTGAGGGGATTGCAGAATTTCTGTGAGATTTCATGAGGGTTCCGTAAGGGTTTCTGCAACATCCGACCCAATATACCATTTAGAACAAGACGTGGTGGTGTACTCTAGTATCGTGATATTTCAGCATCCTCATGAATGATTTTCTATGTTGGTAGCTATTTGTTCGTACTGTCTGCAGTTCCGCTTACCCACTGTTTTTGGATAGGTTGTTGCCTGTGAAAATGGGGTCATAACCTACGCGTCTGCAGAGATAGTAGATACTGGCCTAAGGTGTAGAGATTGGAGGATTGGGAATGCGGGTCTGAGGGCTCGAGGACTCATCTGGCCGACTCCATCACAAGAACAAGGCCTTTCAAATAGAGTGCGGCTACCTCCGAAGAACGGTTGATGATAAAAGTCCTGCATTACCCATAATGAGGGACCAACATTCTGGATTCCTTTGGCAAAGTAACGGAGTCAGTTTAGGGAGAAGACACGGGTCCGTTTCGGGGGAGTCTCTATGATGAGCAAGCTATGATTACGGTTCTCATAACTCGGTGTCCCGTAGTTTTGCTGAAGCTTCCTTTTCCAGATTTGGACGGGTAGGGTGCACATTATGAGTCCAGGTGGGGGTTTCAGGATTCAAGAGGAAAGTCAAAAGCCGCACCCAAAAGCCCAACAAAACCCCCTATATCTGCATTCATGACACCTACAAGCTCTATAAACCCTATACCTTTCAACCCTGAACACCGAACCCCCATCATGCAAGGCTCTCTCAACAAATGTTGGCTTCAAAGCATCGGAAGCGCACGGTCCAAAGACGAACTTCATGGCGCTCTGGACTTCTTTCCTGGGCCGATTCTTAGGGACAACAGTCGGAGAATTGCTATATCGCTCATCTTCAGTCGTATCACTTCTATTCTGAAGAGTAGCAACAACAGTACTAGTCTTAAAAGGAGAAGAAAACTATGACAAAAACTAATCGTCATAATAATGACAGATAATATGAAATTACAACCAACAGTAAGGGTAATGAACACTATAATAATAACAATAACATAAACTAATGGCATTTGGCATCATCATCATCATCGTCATCATCAGCATCATCGTCATCGCTGTGGTTGTTGTTGTGGTTGTGGTTAGTACCATTGCTCGTGCTAACATATAACTCATACCCACATGTATGTGGCTCTTTTTATCGGGCCTGATGGATGGCCTTGTATTTCTGCGATGGGGCCGTTAAAAGAAACTAACCTAAAGCCCTAAAAGCTTACTTCTCACGCCCGGCATCTCGAAGCCAACGATCTCCATGGCGACTTGGGCATCGGCGCCTTTGCAGAAGGCCGGGTTTCATATTAATACAAGGGCTTTACATACATTCG